TGCAATGTACAAAAAATGGAGCAAATTCATGTGATCTCAAGTTGTTCAAGGATGCATTAGTTTTCTATGAAGGTGTGCCTGCAGATCTTTTTACTGCTCAGTCATTTTTCCTTCAACGATACCAGCTACCACAGGTAGCACACCTGGCAACTGGTGTGAACTAAAAATGTTTTATTCAAATTTACATTTTTTTATACTTGTATCAAGATGTGATGCTCGCAATTGCAATAAATGGTAAATGACCTGCATTTGTGTGATGCTTTATCAAGTCCTAGCACTCCAAAGCACTTTACACTATAATCAGTTTTTCACCCAGTCATACCCTGATAGAGGTAAGCTACATGGTAGTCGTACAATCGGCGCTAACAGTCCCTCCGACTACCACCAACAGGCAAGGCGGGGAAGCTTCTTACCCAAGGACACAACTGACACAAACACAGCTGGGGTTCAAACTGGCAACCCACCGGTTACAGGAAGTACTCCTAAAACCACTGTAATGCTAATAAAGATGAAACTTAATGAATTAGTGTTTCTGTAAACATTTCCTGTGTCCAGATGAAAGGAGAAAGCCGTACTAGTGGTACTTTGGGGAAAAAATGTTTCAATATGAACTTAGATCCTTCAATAGGATCTAAGTTTTAAAACTTATTTTGTGCACTTTTATCGAACGGCAGGTCAGAACTTCACAAACTCGGACTTCAAGTCAATCAAAGTGTCTTGTGAGTTAGCCCTTTCAAAACTCACTCGACTCATTCCAGAACTGTATGATCAGTTATTTTTGTGATGCTAACCCAACAGACAAGAGCAAAGATATTACAGACATTCATTCGGCTCATACTGACACACAATTCTGACTGTAGCAGTGGCCGCTTCAGTCTTAGTCTACCGTATTTTCCGGACTATAAGCCGCTTTTTCCCACGCTTTGAACCATGCGGCTTATAATGAGGTGCGGCTTTAGTCAACCAGAAAGGATGGATGCAGGAAAGTCTAATGAAGGAATGGTTAAAGGAGCGCTACGGAAAGCGCCCAGGAGGATTTTTTTTCACAGTGAAACGGCGCTGCTTGTTTTCCCAGCTTCACCCGGGGATGATGACAGCAACACGGAGAGCGACACTGACATCGCCACAGAAAAGCGACGAAGCTCTTCTGAGGCTGTTTAACTCCGACACTGAAGAAGATGACTTCAGTGGTTTCAGAGCGCAGGAGGAAGATGAATAAACTAATCAATAACTTTTCTGTTTTGTTTGATACTGATCAGTTCAGTTACGTTCAGTTAAACTACGTTTTCAATTCAGTAGATATATGCGGCTTTTAGCTCACTGCGGCTTATATTGGGGTGCGCTCTATAGTCCGGAAATTACGGTAGATGAAACTTGAGGTCATTAAAAAATATATATATAATGCAGCCGTGCTGCAAAGGCCCGATAACAGAGACAGCAGAACAGCTGTAAGCCTAGTGCAGGCTTTTTCACAAGAAGCCACTTTGTCATTAAAGCAGTAAGTTTGTGGAGCATGAACGCCTTAGATTGGTTTTCGAAAGGAAGTGGAGGATGGTAAAGGGGGACACGATATAAAACTCTTAGCTCGAACCCGGGGAGAACCATCCATGCAAATGACTAGATAATCGAGGGGAAAGAGACACTTACAAAAGAAGAGTCTAATGTATGAGGCTATGAATCAAGAGGAGCTAAATGGACACCATTGTGAACGAGGTCAAAGGAAAAGTTCCACCAATGTTTCAAGTTCAGGATTGTTCACATAACTTTAGATCTTTGTTCTGCATCCCCCCCCCCCCCCAAAAAAAAACCCTGCAAAGCTAAACATATAAAAACTGTTAGCAAAACAAGTCAGTTCATCAAGATTACCGATGTGCACAAACACTTACCCCCTTGCAGAGAGAAGCAGAGCACCACTTCTATAGTTAAAATCCCACAGTTCATCAAAAACCAGACTACAGACTCCATAACAGGACGTTGTAATCAATATCCTCCATCATCGTAACGCTCGTTTAATCTAAAACACTATCTACACGCTGCCCATGCACATGCTGGCAGATGCAGCCCGTTAGTGAGTTCAGCTAAGAGGAATGAGGGAACGTTTGGAAGTGCCTTGCTGCTTAGCCGGCAGAGAAAAGGCGTGTTGTGCATGGAGAACAATCCCAGCATTTGAGACCCTCTGACCCTGCCTTGGCCCCCAAATCACTAGTGGCTCGCCCTGGAATGTGGGCTCTTTTTCGCTGGAGTCCAGGAAAAATAGAGCATCAGACAAATGCCAAAGAAGGAAATAAAAAAGTACTAAAATCTGCAAACAAGACAGCGACGGGCATGAACTTTATATTCTGTATTTATAATCCAGACACAAAGAGAAGGGTAAAACCGCTACTCTTTAGATTTGGGAGTGACCTAATTAGATTCACTGGAAGGAAGTGTTAGACACCAACAGAGGCCCCGGCAGAGAGGAAATATTTCCTGAAGCGGCCAATTTTGGAACTTGGGGCAAGAAGAGATACAGGGCTCTCCCTCTTCTGGCCTTGGGGATGAGTGCAAAGTCTTAATCTTCCCTTTCTGTGACTCCCTCGTTTCCTCTCTGCCTCCGGCGCTCGCCTCCAGAGCCCAAGTGTGTGTGTTTCTCGACACAATAACCCTACAGTACTGAAATGCTTCAATCCTCTCTCATGTCTTTAAAATCCCCCAATCGATCCTCAAACAGGAAGCGAGCAACTGGCAGCAGAAGGGTAACGCAGACTAATGAATGTGATCATCATGCACAATTCAAGTGCTCAACATCAAAGAGCACGATTACATACATAGGACCTGGGCTCAGGTTACAAACAGCATGACTGACCCACTTTTCATTTGGAAAGAAGTCATCGATCAAATGAATATCTGAACATGACTTTACAGAGATAAAAAAAAATGCATGAGCTCACTGAATTGAGTTCTAGCAGGAAATGCTGATGGACATGATTTTATGAATATAGAGCTGTGGCAAGAAGTTTAGAGGAGGACACAAATATAAACCCATAAGTTGGCCGCTTTAGTTTTTATGATGGAACTTTTGGGAACACCAAAACGAAAAAGAATACAGAACAGTGAGGAGACGACTTTTGGAGGATGGCTTTGTGTCCAGAAGGGCAGCAAAGAAGCCACCTCGCGCCTCAGAACACAAGGAATAAAGAATGATTCCTAAGCATCCTCCCTGAGGAACTCCTCCCAACGACCTAAGATCTGTTTGGTGATGAACTGTGACTTTTCCTGGACGATGGAGCATTGCGACTTAAGGCTATAGTCAGAATTAAGTAGCTCAAGGATCAAAATACATTTTTGCCTCCATGGTTGGGAAATTCATAGACTTCAGTCTTGGCATTTCCAATATAATCGACCAATATTTGCATTAAAAAGTAATATCTGAAATTATCAGTTTGGGTTTTTACTCTTTCAATGACAACTTTTCCACATCATGCATATATTATACATTAGACCATTCAACTACATCTAACACTCAAGGTATCAAAATATGACAAATGTGAGGTAAAATTTGAGATATTTAAGCTAGTTTGGCTCAACTGGGCTAGCTTAAATTGAAGTAGCTGTCATTACTTTGCACAGATAAGGTTTAAATTTTAGGTATGAATCAAAGAAGAAATGTGACGTTAGTTACCTAAACTTATTTAGTTGTTTGTTTTTATGGAGGAGAGGGAGGTGGACGTTGTATATATTAGTACTGGATTGTATCAGCATCGGAAATAAAGAGCTAGACTGTAACAGTGTATCAGTAAAAATACAATATTAGACATTCCTCTTTCAGTCCTATTAAAATATGTTAGTTAATCTTCAAAAAGCAGATGAACAAAGAAAAAAATGACAAAATAAGAACTGATTATACATGAAATGAGCAGTCATCAGTCAGGACTTGGACCAGGCATCTGCTGACAGTACGCCAAGGTGAACTGGGTTCTGGGTTCATTTAAATAATGCATGTAATTAATCTTTGGTAGAAACACCTTGCAACAAGGTGTAGGAACAGTAGACAGGCAACCATAGTTAAAAAGCAATATTTGTGTCATCCTTTAATCTTTGCCTGTGTATGGTCTATAATTCAAAGTTTCTCATCAGATGTAAACCGTCTGTAGGCTTAAGTTCAGCTGTCACATAACTTCATCAGAAAGTAAACAATCAAACCGAGAATGGTTAATGAGGAATTTGCAAAGCAGAGTTGAAAATAGCAACAATCCAGATATGTGGGAAGTTATGTGGGGATTTTTGTGTTTGGTTAAACTTGGCTCCGTAAAAAAATAAGTGGGTCAGTTTCTGCACATACAGCGACTCCCACATGAGTTCACAAAACAGAAAACTGCTCTAAAAACGGTTTTGCATTTTAATGAGATTAAAAACACACCAAGGTTGTCACCAAACACGACACGATTGTCGAAACTCCAACTCATGGCATCTGTGACTTTCCTTAGAGCCGGACTCTCCTGAAGGTAACCGGAGGAAATTCTCAACCGCTCTCTCCAAGGATCACAGCTGACAAAAATTACCGCCAACAAAACAAGCTACACAAGTCACGAATTATGACTATGTTGGGCTGAAATGTCCAACAAGATGCCTGTGAGAGGACAACATTGATGAATAAAATATGGCTGCGAGCTCTTTTTGAGAGGCTGCCAATATGTGAAAGAAGAAAACTGAAGCATGCGACGGGCCACACTGTCAGAGGGAACACCGATTTAATTAAGCTGCTTGTGACATGGTGGAGAGAAATGCAGCTGCAAGGATGCGTTGTTGTTTAGCCTTTAATGCAGAGCAGAGAAAGATGGAACGAGAGGAAGTGAAGGTAAAGGCAGGGTTATTTTTAAAGGAGTAGGTGAAAATTGCAAATATAAACCCAAAAAACAATTGAAAAAAACATCAACAGGACATGTTTCTTGGCTAAATCAATCCTACTGGTGAGAGCATTAAGAGAGGTAGAGCAGGGAGAGGTTTGGGGGTGTACTTACGTTGCAGTTTGAGGACTGGTTTAGATCGGGTGAAGATCCGTCAGCCCACTCTGCAGTGTCAGAACTGCAGGACTGTTTGCTGCGCTCATACTCCTTCAGCTACACGGAGAAGAAAAGTTTAGAGAGGCAGAGGGGACGAGGGGATGAGGGCGGGCCACCCACTCTCACCCAGAACACACTACTCTCTATACAGGTTTAACAGGGATTCAGGGACGGATGGTTGGATAGAAATCTGGAAATTTTGTGTTTAAGTAACTGGAAATTATTCATGCAATGAACTAAAAGTTCATTTTTTGCACAAATGTATGTTTTAATATGAAATCAGATGGCATGGAGACACAATGATCTGGAGATGTGGAGGTTATAAAATATGGCTGCGACTCCAGCTTGTTCTTTTCGTGTTAATACAGAATCAGTGTCTCAGTCAACGACACAGCTAAAGATGCTGCAACAACTCCACAATCATCATGAATTAACAAACAGTACAGTGAAAAAAAAAATCAATCATGAATGATGCAGATTTTGCTTCCACACAGCCTGGCCCTTTTGTAATATCCAACTGAATATTGATGACATTGGTCTATCCCTTGACTTTTGGACTAAATGGTTAATAGGTCAGGGTAAAATGACCCAAATGCCTTTGAAAATGTCCAAGTGCTTCACTAAGGCTGAAAAAGTGCCAGAGACCAAAGAAAAACCATAGCAGCCCTTCAGAAAGTCTGAAGAACTACTGAACAAGAGATGATGGTTAGATCATATAATATCTGGCCAAAAGAAAAGTGTCCACCCAAAAAATTATCACACACTAATATTTCATTGGACCGCCTTTAGCTTTGATTACAGCACGCATTCGCTGTGGCGTTGTTTCTATGAGCTTCTGCCATGCCGCCAGATTTATTTCCATCCAGTGTTGCACTGATGTTTCACCAAGATCTCAATGGGGTTAAGGACTGGACTCTGTGGCCGATCCATGTGTGTGTGTGTCTCATGCTCCCTGAAACACTCTTTCACTAATTGAGTCCGATGAATCCTGGATTTGTCATCTTGGAAAATGCCCGTGCCATCAGGGAAGATGGAAAAACCTGGCCATTCAGTATATTCAGGTAGTCAGCTGACCTCATTCTTGGAGCACGTCCGGTTGCTGAACCTAGACCTGACCACCTGCAGCAAGCCCACATCATAGCACTGCCACCACAGGCTTGTACAGTAGGCACTAGGCATGATGGGTGCATCACTTCATCAGCCTCTCTTCTTACCCTGATGCACCCATCTGGACTCATCAGACCAGTTTAACGATGCAAGTTATAATGCATTATTAAAACAATCTCCTTAGATGTTTTCTCTGCTTGATGCATGCCGGTGAGCTGACCTTTCTCAAAACACACCAACATCTTTTCCACGACCATCAGATGTGTCTTTCCACATGGTTGTATAGAAATGAGAAGCAACCCATTGCACCAGTTGGGGTAAAATAACTTGTTGCAGCTAAAAGATGATCACCCATGCAGTAATTATCCAATAGGAGGATCGTCCAGGTGGTGACTTTTTTTTGGCCAGGCAGCGTACTCATCCTAATAATGATGTTTAAGAACTCCAGAAAACGAGGAGCTTAGAGCAATGGGAATTTCTTCTCACGATGACAAGTTGCCTCGAGGACAGTGAGTTTTAACGGGATATTTTAGTGAAATGTTTAAGCTTATTATGTGGTGTATATGGTGTAATGTTTGGTTTTTAACCAAGCATTTATCTCGTTGACAGATCTAAGTGGAAAATTTGATTTTTAAACTTTTTTTGACAGTTAAACACACAGACACACTTTACGATCCACTGTAGTAACTCACTAGATACAGAAAAGACAAACACAAAAATGAAAACAATCGTGACAACAGAAAAAAAGGTAATCAGGTTGACCAGACAGCTGAAATCAAGGCAGTACCCGATAAATAACGTGTAAATGCTGCTGGTAAGTCATGCTACCCAGCAGCAAGGCATTACAAATGATCACCAAAAAGCAAATGGAAAAAGAAGAGACAGAACGATCAATGGCATTGATTGGAAAACCAAAAGGAAAGTGGAGGAAAAAAGACAGAAAGCCAAATGATTATCCACCATGTCCAACTAGAGGAAACCCAAAATGCACCATGGCACCCCACCTTCCCAACAGTTAGGGCTATTTAGTAACCATCACCATCAACCTGGAGCTGACTAACACCCACACACAGTCCAAGAGCTCAAACCCTAACATTCAAACTCCTGAACCTCTGGGCACGCCGGACGCTCTGGAGTTTGTTCATTTGTGTGTGTGTAAAGAAGACAATGCAATGTTAAGGTCTGGGGCCTTATAGGGGTTAGTATGAGTGAGCTGGTTTAGTATGCCAGAGCAGTTAGACTATGAGGCGTAGGGAGGCTAGAATCAAATCCAGGAGGGGGGAAGGGATGGCAAGGTTAAGTAAGGTCACAGGCCGATGAAGTTGTTGAGGGAGGAGGTGGAGGGAGCGGAGAGGAAAAAGAAACGAGTCCTACCCGAGCCAGAGCTTCTTCTACGGTGATCATCTTCTCTTTCACCATCATCATCAGCTGGATCCGTTCCTCATCGCTCATGGTGATCTCACTGGCCACATAGCCAATGTCCTCTCCTGGTCACCCCAAAAGCAAAAGACTTAAACACGAGGCAGCGAATGCTCTGTAAGCTGGATCTGGAAAACTAAAAACCACACTAACCTTTGGACGACTGACGAACGACGGGTTTGTGCTGAGATTTGCGAAAATTCTGCCAGAAAGATTTGTTTTTCTTCTTATTGTCCCACTTGCCTGGAGGGGAAAAGGACGGTTTTGTTATGCAGTGAAACCCACAAATCTGATGTCCAACTGCACCGAAAACTACTAATTTACTACTTTGTTTCCCTCACTGGAAAGCAACCGCAAAGGCAAAGCAATTAGACATCTGCGATACTCAAAACAATGTGTCTATAAAAAACAGCAACATGTTTTAAAATCATTGACATTTCCAGAAGTGCAACCACAGGAAGAAGTGGGGCAGATATGATGAACAAAACCTCAATGTTTCAAATATTCACTTTAAAATGTTGGCTTTCTGATACAAACATGTTCTCCAAACTCTCGTGAGTTCAGTAAGAGGGTCATCCTGAAAGGGAAAACATTGATGTCTTTGATGCCCAGGTCTACACGCAAGATGTGTTTGGCTGTGAAACTATCTGGGAATCGGGTTCAGAACTGAATAGTTCTGAAAAGTTCAACCTTCTCGCTTTGGTGTTGATCTTTCTCTCTTATTCTGTTTTAAGGCACCCATCTTCCTGTCCTTCATCCAAACATTCCCATCTTCACAAGAGTGTCCCTTATCCCTCGTGTGTAAGGGGGCAGGTCTTCTGGTCAAGATTCTGCTATCCTAAAGACCAAAAGACTCTCTGAAAGGAAGATCAGGGGTTTCATTCACAAAGTTTGCATTAATTAGGTTCTCACTATGGATTAAACTCTTGTGATCAGGGGTAGACCGATATATCGGGCTGATATTTACCACGTTTTATACATCGGTATCCACTGATATTTGTCTTTAGTAATGCCAATTTAAAGTTAGGAGCATCCTCAGGCTACCTGGTGCTGTTGCAGAACTGAATTTAAATGTATTTTTACGAATAACATCTGCAAGAAATGCTCTAGCTTTATTTAGATGTCTGACTTTAACACTGAGCAGTGCACAAAGTTAAGATTTAACAGAGGTGAAAAACTGATTCAGCTTCAGAAATTTTGTGTATCAAACGATGTCATCAGTGACATTGTAACATGAAAATATGGTAGAAAACGTGTAGATATCGACCATGAAAATTGGCCCATAAAATTGGCAGTACATATCGGCTAACTGTGTCTCCTACATATTGGTATTGGCATAGAAAAACCAATGCTTTGGTCAAAAATTACTCAGATTACATTTTCAAAAGGATTGCGGATCGGAAGCCGGCAGCTACTTCAGGGACGCCTCTCCAGGGAGGTGTTTCAGGCATGTCCTGCCAGCAGGAGACCCCCTGGTCGACCCGGGACACGTTGGAGAAAGTGCATCTCCAAACTGGCCCAGGAACGACTTGGGGTCCTACCGGAGGAGCTGGTGGAGGTGGCCGGGGAGAGGACGGTCTGGAACTCCCTGGTTGGGATGCTGCCCCTGCAACCCGGACCCGGATAGGCGGAAGAAGACATGTTGGTACTGGCATAGAAAAACCCAATATCAGCCAGCCTCTTCTTGTAAATCACCATTTTTCTGTTGAAGTGAAAACGCTCTATGGTGGAGACATTGCTCTTTTGTCTGAACCCACCAGGATGCATCAGAAGGGATAAACTTGCAAAATACAAACTTCGTATCTCCATTTACCTCCAGATCCATCTTCAGAGCTGGACTTGTGCAGCGACATTCTAAAGTAAAAACACAAGAAAGAAAGAATTACATCAGCAAGAACACATTCATTAATTACCTTGTTTTTCTAAATCAAAAAATATATTAAACTACAAATAAGCACATGTTTACTGGGTTTTCTCCAAAACTGGTGATGCAGTTCTGCCTTGTGACCACTTGGTGTCAGTGGTGACACTTCAGAGATTGTAAACCAGGCTCCTGAGGCTTGAAAGGGAGAAGGTGGCAGGGCAGGATGCACAACTAATCTGTATGCTGAAGCTGGTTATAATACAAAACCCCCAAACAAGGGGAAGGACAACAACAAGACGGGAGAACTAGGTGAGCGTTAAAGGAAAGTATGGATTTAAGGAAATGCAGCAGGCAGGAGTGGGAAGCGGAGGGATCAAGACCACAGGGCGGACTCTGCCTGTTTATGTTTCCACTTCCATCCACAAAACAGTTACATAAAAAACAAGAAGAGAGGAGGGAATCTGAAGGGATAAAGACAGACATGGAAAATATTTGAGTGACTAAAAATCCAAACATGTGAATAAACTACAACTAACAGCACCCAATCAAAAAGTCCCGAGTGAGCAGCTGTGACAGAGATGAGAAACCAAATCTATTTCCGTCTGTATAAAAAACGGTGAAGTGTCGACGATTTGAGCCGTTGAGAACTTGGGTTCAGTTGTCTAAAAAAACATTTTTGTCCAAGACAAGCGGACGTGTGCAGTTTTCTGTGCTCAACAAGCCACCTTCACACACCTATTATGATTAAATCTGCTTACACACGCAGCTGCTCAGCCATGGAGACAGACGGTAGAGAAAGTTTGAAACGGTCCACCAGATCCTAACAGCTACTCTTTTCCTCTGTGATGTAACTAAATGTGTGTGTGTGCGCACATGATTATGTGTGAGTTCAAACATGGCAGTCTTCTCATGGTGCAATGGGAAATCTCTTTCAGCCTAAAAAGTCTGGCTGCCATGGCAACATAATGAGATGCTAATTGAATGAAGGCCTGTATGGTTCGTCCCTGTGCTCATCCTCCCTCTCGGATAGGTTAGGGCCCAAGCAGTAGAAGCTTTTCTGTGACAGAATCCGCTCCCCCCTCTGACAACACCTTCTATAAATTAACCCCCAGTGGTCCACAAACTTGTGCACATTCATTCAAAGTACCTGCATGTTTCCCAAAGAGTTTGTCAGCTCAGTCTGTGTGTTGCTTGGCAACTTAATTGGTTTAACCTCAAGTCTTTGACGTGCTTTTCCACTTCATTCCTGCTCTTTGCACTTTTAGTTTCGAAAAGCTCTGGCGCTCCTGTTTTAGGAGGTAGAAATTAGCCAGAGGAGAGGGGTGCAGAAACAGCAGACTTTAGCGTCTTGATCATTATTCACAGTATTTAGATGCCTCGCCTCTGTGGAGGAGGATTCGGGTCACTGAAAAAAAAAAGAAAGAAAAGTTTTCCCCGGCCAGCCGAGACACGTAGTCCCTCCAGCATGTCTACCTTTGGGTCTCCTCCCAGTTGGACGGGCCTGGAAAACCTCACCAGGGAGGCATCAAAGAGGCAACCTGACCAGAAGCCCAAGCTACCTCAACATGGCTCCTCTTGATGTGGAGGAGTAGTGGATCTACTCTGAGCCCCTCCTGGATGATCAAGTTCTCACCCTCTCTCTAAAGGAGAGCCCAGACACTCTGGAGAAAATTCAATTCAGCCACTTGTATCCGCAATATCATTATTTCAGTCACTACCCAAAACTCGTGACCATAGGTGAGGGTGGGAACGTAGACTGATTGGTGAATGAAGAGCTTCGCCTTCCACCTCAGCTCTCACTTCAACACGACAGACCGGTACAACGCCCTCATCACTGCAGACTCAGCACTATTGCCCTGTCAATCTATCGCTCCATCTTTCCCACGCTCATGAACAAGACCCCGAGATACTTAAAGTCCTCCACTTGAGGCAGTACCTCATTCCTGACCTGAAGAAGACAGTCTTCCTTTTTCCAACTGAAGACCATGGTCTCAGATTTAGAGGAGCTGATTCTCATCCCAGCTGCTTCCCACTCGGCTGCGAACTGCTCCAGCGAAAGCCGGAGATCACGTTCTGATGAAGACAGTCTTTGGCTAGACGTTGTTAAATCAAATGAAGTGACTTTTCACTTGAAACCATAAGAATATAATCATGTCTAGGAAGTACATTTTTGCATTAATAATTGCATAATTTCCATTATATTACATAGACAATTGATGTCTGATAACATTTAACCTCTCAAGGAGGAAAAGTGTAAGTCAGACTTATGAATAAGTTTTATTTGTGCTAAACCTTTAGCATTGGCGTTTTGGTGTCTAAAGGCACACCACCTGGAGCGGAGTGATCCACGGTGCACATGGAGAAACAATAAAAGGTGACAGGGTGACAGTGGTGGTGTAAAACAGGAAGAATAAGGGGTGTGACCTCTTTGGGGGCTACTGGTTGCAAAGGTAAAAAAAAAAGAAAAGAAAAGGGCGAGTACTAGCTAATATAGCAGGAAAACAGAAAGCTATGCAAAAAAAAAAAAACATCCAGAATTATGGTTTTCAGGCTGCTCAATGGGAGCTGCAACACACAAGCTATAAATGCACAACAAGGTGCTTAACTACACCAGCATGCTGTTCACATGGCCCAGCATACAAACACATCTGACTGTTGCATAAACTGGGCTTCCAGTAGCACAACAACTTCTTAATGTGCCGTTCTCCTGCGGTCGCCTTAAAACCCAATAATCTGCTGTTTTGATCTCACGCCCGCGCACATGCATGCTTTAATCAAGACCTACTTACTTATTCTGTTAACCTTCCTGGTAAACCAGCTAGCCCCCCCCTGCAACAATCCAATCCAATCAATCACATTCCTAAACAGGAAGACCTCAGCTTGAACCCCTGAACCTCCTGAGAGCTCTCTGTCATCAACGCTTGCATACCAGGCATAATGGGAGCTGTGCCCATCTCGTGCCAACAATGGAGCTGTGAGGAGACATAAAGGGGTGGTCCAGCTGCTGGATGGAGGTCTGGGTAATCTTCTATTGTTCCGCTGAGAGGTGCTGATGGGGTATCTGTGCGTCAGCAAGCAGGCATGCCTTTTGTGGGGCTGTGAGGAATGTGTCCGAGGAATGGTTGGGGCTTGTCTATCCGTTGGCCTGCACATGATAAATCATCCTACCTGCAATCCATTCGTCACAATGGAAAATGGACAATGGGCAACAAAATAGAGAAGCGAGCTGGAGGGGGATTAGGGAGAGAGGGAGGATTTCTGCACAAATGATGAAAACCTGGAGGCAGCAGATGTCAGCGATGCTAACCTCAGACATAAAGAACACTTTAAACAGTGTTCATTACATACAGTAGCTAGTCACATGAAAGAGAAATTGTTTTTTTTTTGTAGGAAGACTGCAAATCAGCAGAAGTCTGCATGTTACTTAATAATAAGTATCTGACATAAGGAGCAGGCAGAATATTGTATAGTTAGGATCTATTTGAGGGCCTCTCTTAAACAGCAGAGAGACGTCATTTAAAAAAATCTGGCATCTGGCTCCCATAATCCTCAACTTTTGCCTGTGCAACATATACAGCCATGGGAAAAGAGATCATGTCTATGGTATGCACTTCCTCTGCAGCAGATGAACATGACAATTCCACAGGGGGTCACGCACGGGTGATGAGCAGAATGAAATAGGAAGGGAAAATAAAAACAAAGCCATTCCTCAGTGTTGTTTGCACACGGCCAAAGCATCTTTCAGTGAGATGAGGGAGTACAAAACCGTAATGTAAAAGGATTTAATGTGTGTGGACAAAAGGCAGCCATTTTCCTAAATTTGTCTAACACAGCAACAACGTGTCATGGTTATGTAGAGAAATGCAATGCACATTAAATAGAGTGATGTGCATAAAACATGAGAAATCCCCAACTTTTGCAGAACAGGAACCTTTGGAAAGGAACTCCACCCATGCCCTGCTCCATCCTGCTCTTTCGATCATGTTCCTTTGCTGTAATCTTCTGGCCATCACCCTCATTGTCTCCCCCTTCTATGCTGCAGGACACAAAGCCAGGAAGGAAATACAGAGGGGCCAGAGAGCACAGAATGGCTGCTGAACTGAGTGGGTCAGCCTGAGGAAACCGTTGTTGGTTTCCTTTAACCTCAGCAGGGATGTTGCCAAGAGAGCTTAGATGACCAGCTAAGTCATAACTGTGAATGCTGATGGGGTAGATAACCTCACACACTTCAAAATGTCCATCTTCAAGGGATTTTAGAGGCCATTTACTTTGTGTTCTTGGGAAAAGATTGTTAAATAATTGCCTACCTGTCATAGATTGCTTCCTGGTCAGCCTTAATCTAGAGAAACAAGGTCCTTTGGGATTGATGCAATAATAGAAAGTCCAAGCACCGCAAAGACCAACGAGTATAAGTGCCCTTAAAAACAGCTTTAATCATTCAAACGGAAGCCACTGGTGGTGTGAAGCTTCACAATATACTTTTCAAAGAACCGCTATGGCAATATGGAGATAGAGGCTTGTAAGAAGACGGTAGCACACTTTGGTCTTGCTGCCCTGATACCAGCCATTCTCTCATCAATCCTGTAGAAGTAAAACTCTTCATGGAGACAATTCAAAAAGCCATCTATATTGAGTAAAAATAAATGATTTATAATGGTTACACACAAATACCAGAGCCAGCGCTTGGTCTGCATTGCCGGCAGTAAGCCGGACTTGTTTCCAGTGAGAGTTGGGTTATTATGGACAGGCGTTGTACCGGTCCATTGTGGTGAAGAGAGAGCTGAGTCTGAGAGCAAAGCTCTCGATTTTCTGGTCAGTCTACATTCCGAGCCTCACCAATGGTCACAAGTTTGGGTAGCGACCTAAAGAACGGGATTGGTCATACAAGTGGATGAAATGAATTTTCTCCACAGGGCGTCTGGGCTCACCCTTAGAGATAGGGTGAGAAGCTCGGTAATCCAGGTGGGGCTCAGGGTAGATCCGCTTCTCCTCCACATCAAGAGGAGCCAGTTGAGGTGGCTTTAGCATCTGGTTAGGATGCCTCCTGGACGCCTCACTGGTGAGGTTTTTCTGGCACGTCAAATCGGGAGGAGACCCAAAAGGAGACCCAGGACACACTGGAGGGACTATGTTTCTCAGTTGGCCAGGAAACATCTTGGGATATCCCTGGAGGAGCTGACCCAGGTTAGGGAGATGGAAGTCTGGGCCTCTCTGCTTAGGCTGCTGCCCCTGTGACCCTACTCCACATAAGCAGATGAAAAGGGCATGGATGGATGGGTTACACAGGAAGACACTTCTAACTGATTGAAGCTTAATATTCATTATGCACTAACAGAGTTCTAGGTGGCATTTGTTCGGCTAAACGCTTGAAGAAAAAAAAACCACAACAAAGCAGCCAATGTAGAGTGAATCTTGAACCAGACTGCATTAAGATTTGGTTGATTCAATTATATTCCGACTGATTTGATTTGGACCATGTTGGGGAACTAAAGTCTGACCTGATTGAATTTCAACATCAAGACTTGAGCCATTATATTCTGGTGGATCATTGACCGCCTGTTACATTGTTATTGTGAGTAGAAACATGTTGTAATTCAGTGAAGACTAGAAACTAACAAATATATTGTTGTACATTATTTATGAAAACAACACTTATTTACCAATAATGCATTGGTAAAATGGATGCATTTTAATTCAAAAGGACAAGCATACTAAGACCCTGTTCCCACCAAGCCAGGGATCACACAAATGGAAGAAAGTGGCACCAAAAACAATTATTTCAAAAACTCCGACCAAAGTGGAGATTTGCAAATTGTCTGTTGTCAACATTTGCTTGTGGACAAACAGGGTTTTAAGATTCCATGTCTAAGGTCTTCTTTTCAGCAAAGACGCCAAAGATTTGGGGAACTACTGCCACCTACAGGCTTGGCATAGCCAATGAATGTGCTTCACAACACAGTAGATAGGCGGAGAGGTGGTGTGGACACAAGTTTTTTTCCCTAGATGGGTGGAGGAGGATTTATTTGGTTTTACAGAAACTCGGCCATGTGTGTACACGGTCTGTAAAATTTCTGTCCTTTTGGAACAAACTAAGACAAAATGTGCCTGTCTGAGTAAATCAGTGTTTCCCTCCTTGATGAGTCAATCTTTAACCATCATCTGTTGTTAGCCTGTCATCCGCTGTAAGACAGCACAACACTGCAAACATCCACAGAAGTTATCCATCAGAAGAGACGTCTATCCCCCAGCAGCGAGGTCAGACCTCTCCAAAAAACGTCTAACCATCATTCAACATGATATTCCTGCTGGTTTGTGTATTTGTGTTTTTGCTTGTATCCATGTGTTGCTGTGAACCTGCAGAATATCTAAATGTGATTTATGATCTTTTTGTGCAAAGGTATACAGGTTGATGTAATCCAGAAACAAGCCGCACACATTTCCAACTGAAGGCACCGGTTACAGCTACATAGTTAAATATTAAAACATACTTTCTGTCTGTTTCTGGAGTAGACACCTCGCTGCTGAAGCCCAAGGATTCCTGAGGATAAAGACATAGAGCATGTTTTAGACTGACATTTTCACCAGATGTCAAGTACAAATTATAATACAAGTCAGTGTTTGGGGCATGTAACAACTGCCTACCTGGATCTCATTGCGAAGCTGCAAAGAGGTAGTGCTTGGATCCTGTTTTTCCTGGAAAACAGAACAAACGAGAAGAAAAAGGTCAAAAAGTCACTGTTAAATATCAATCACTCAATATTTCTGAGGAAGGCAAACTTTGAGCACATATAAGCAGAGAAAACTAGCTTTGTATGGTGGAAAAAAGAAGAAAAAGTAAAGAACAGAGGAGTAAGAGCGGATTGGATGATTTACAGTTCCTCATGAGGGAACAACGTTCTTTGTTACGGTTCAGACGCACCTGCACACCTGTGAAAACAAACAAGCATCTGTGTGCAGTGCACACATTTTTACAGTAGTTGAGTTGAGACTTGATTTAGGTAGCAAAGACCGCTGCACTTATTTTACATATCTCTCCGCAACAGTGATGCCAGTAACACGTTACTTAATAGCACGTCACTCTAATATGACCACTTTTTTGTAACGACTGATCTAATGTGTTACGATTTCCATAACAGTAATCAAATAAAAATTTCTTGTCCGAGCCACTGTTTTACATTTTTACCATTTTAGTGATTTTCTTAAGCAGGGTGCATGTAGCCGATATGAGCACGCATACTAAATCCAGGAAAAGCAGTGTACTACCTTACTGAACAAGCAAACGGCACCGCCGTCCCATTCCTTGGAAAGGAACACTCTAGTGATGTGTCGGTCGTGAACAAACCGGCTCTAAGAGCCGGCTCTTTGAAGTGGACGATAGGAGCCGGCTCGTCATTGGCAGCCGTCGTCACCCCTCCCCCCTAGCTTCGGTGAAAGCTATAGACGATTGGTCAACATGTGTAACTGTGTGTCCAGACTGTCCACACACAGAGCAGTAGGGGCGGGGAAGAGGGAGGATCAGACTCAGACACACAGCAGAGCACGTGCGGGCGGAGGGAGACGAGAGGGAATGAGAAGGAGGAAAAAGGCGAGCTAGAGAGAGGAGAGTGCAACGAAGACGGTGAGAAAATGAGCGACAGCAGTCGGAAAGTTATGATTTCTCAAAGTGTTCAGTTATTAAATCCATATAAATGATAAACATTTGATATATAGCATTTTTTTACATTGGTAAATCATTTTACATATAGTTTTGCATTGTTTTGGTTTTAAATGTACTCTACCCAACAGAAAATCTGAGGAGCCACTTGGGAGCCGAGCCAAAAGAACCGGCTCTCTAAAAAGAGCTGGAATTCCCATCACTAGAACACTCACTCATGGTGCAAAAATAACACATTATGAACACTGAACAAGAGACCAACACAACGCTGGTAATAAAACCCCAGCAAAACACACCAAAATTGAACAAGCAACTGGACACATGGCTACCCACAATGCACCTTGCCTGCTTGCTCCACAGAGGGTGGGTTCACTACAATATATTTGTTTTTTCCCTGCGTCTTAGGAATGCCGACATGTATGTGGCAGGTTTTTATGTTAAGTGAAGTCAAGAGAGACTGTCTTTAATTTATTTTTATTCAAATGTGAATTTCTGTCAGGAAATAAGCTTTAGCTGCTGAAATGAACTAATAAAATAACTCATAATCCAAGTTAGTTTGTAAATAAAGTAATGGGTAAAGTAACCAAGTTACTTTTGGAAAGAGTAACACGTAATCATTAATCAGATACTATTTCAAGGTAACTGTGGTAATATTGGGTCATGTTTGGTAAATCTTGAATAAAAACAGACACCAGCACACTGCAGTGGCCTTTAGGTCAACTTTCTCCTCGAGTCAAACACCTGCTGATTAGACAACCGCGTTATACTTTTATTTATTTATTTATTTTTTTACTTGGTACAGTTCATAGTTCATAATAGAGGCTAAAGATATCTCAGTTAATTTATTAATAAAGTTTAAAGGATGTCTTTAGGGATATTTAGGGGCCGTAATAAATGACACATTTTTAATGACTATCAACCTAAAAGAAAACACGATATTTTCTCAAATCCAAATACTTTCAAATTACAATAAAATTGTAATGATTTCCCAGATTACTACTTTTGACACCACGGTCAATGTTCCTTAACGAGCACTTTTAAAAAATACTGTCATGTTTCAATAAATGCAAGACACTGGTTACGTAACATGTTGAAACGCCTAAAAACACGAGTCTGAGGAATATGTGACACAAAGGGTTCTTCAGGAGGTATTTTAAACACAACCCTTTGAAATTAGCGACAAATAAACACTGCTTCATAGGGTGGAGGTAACATACAGATTTTATGTTGCAGACTGTGAATTTTAGAGTCAAAAACATGCGTTTAGAAACTAGCTGACATGACCTACCTGTGTGCTTTTGAACAAAGAGATAAGAACTCCCACAACCTTTTGGTCTTTGTCATTAAGGTGCAGCTAACAGACAGGGTTGTTAGTTTGCTTAAGGGTAACAGTTTTAAAATGCACACAAGACTAAGGCCTAAAGGTTAACTTTAGGTCAACGTACCTAATTAAACCCATAAGAGATGTGTGACGTCTACGTCTGTGTGGATGGTGAAAGAAGAAAATCACATGAAAGTTAGACCTTTGACATTAAAGTTGCCATTCTAGATCTTTTTGGCCACTTTTGAGGAACCTCATTTTTGTGATTTTTCTTTAGGAACCAATCGAAAGAGAAACCCAAGACAAGTTCTTCTTTCTGTCTGACAACTTTAGTAACAAAAATAAAATTACGGGAGATGAGCCAAGATCCAACACAAGAAGTTGGCTAATTCATGTGTGAAAATTTCCCAAAGTCAACGTCGGGAATTTCTTAAATTTTAGAGGAATTTGTGCCTACCTCTTGGAAGTTGGAGTGGTTTGTTGTCTGATCATGTTACCAGAAATAAAACATGTTTAAAATAACGACAGATAGTTTTTTAAACTTTAAGCTAGAGCTTTAATGTTGATCTCAGTGATTGTTCAGTTAGAAACTCGACCAGTTTTATATTTGACACCACTCTGCAGCCCTCTGCTGACCAAAAACTGCCCTTGATAGTTTTGTGGAGCGGGTAGGTGTTCTAGTGGGAGCTTCTTACCTTCTTTACGGCTGTTAGCTGTAATGCTAGCAGTTGGCATTTTCAGTTTGCTGATCGTCAATAAAAAGCACAAGAAGAATAAAAATAAGAATTTATATTTTTCTGTTGTTGGAGGAAACTAAAGGAGGCTACAAAATCATGGACTGATGGTGACCTGGCTTTGTTGCTATGGACTTGTAAGTAAGAATATTTTTGTCCAACAGTGCTGATATTTTAACTTCGTGGTGTTTTTTTAGTATTAGTTGGCTCGTGTTAGTGCTAGCTCATTGTTAGCGCTAGCTAACGCAGGGTTGTTGACTAGAGTTTTAACTCCGCTTTCAACCAGTAGGGTGGAGGAGCAGGAAGCTGCTCTGTTAGTTTAACAAAAGTAATGACATGAGCCAAGTAGTGGTAGAGCAGTGACGTAGTTGAAAACATTTAAGTGAGCCTTCTGTTGGCAGCAAACTGTAGGAATGTAGTTTCCTGAAACATTGAACAAGAATAGGAAATGAGTTGTTTTTGGAGAAACTTGCCTCATTCACCTTCTCCACAACCATACACTAAATTCAAAATCAGAGGAAGCTGAATGCAGAGGAATTCTTCAAGCAATTTAGTCATACTTCCTTAATTTTGAAATATTTGTTTCCACATGGTCACCCTCATATGAAGGGAATTAGTCAAGGGTGACCTAACCTCTTTTTAAGAGCTATTTAAGAGCCTGGAGTTAAATGACAAGTAGTTTTGAAGTGCTGAGATGGCAGAAAGGCTTCAAATTAGCCTCAACCCCACAATCAGGATCACAGTAATCACCAGCAGACAGACTAAAGATGTTAGTCTGCACGGCTGACGACAACTTCAGCTCTGTAAGTCCCACAAGCCGTCTGTCCATGTGTCTGTTACTGTGATCACGCAAACAACCGGAGGTTTTCATGAGATAAGTCATTTAAAGTTGGAAGAGGCTTTAGACAGATTGTCCATCACAGGGAATACGAGGATTCCCGTAAGTCAGAAGGCAGGTATCCGTCATAAAAGCCTCTTAATTAGCTTACCAGGCTGAAAAGAAAATCTGGGACACAAGTGTTTGCCTTTTTCTTTTAAAAGAGACAAAGAGAGACCACATCCATCCTTTATACAAGCACAGCTTTAGTGTTTAAACAACAGCACCGTGCAGACTCCATTGCGTACCCACATGAAGAGGAAGACTTTGAACGTTCACGCACAGCCACAAACACTTTCACAAAGGTAGCCGCAGACTGGTTTTGCTATCAGATCCTCTTTCTTTGATGGCTTCTCTGGCCTGTAGAGACAGATGGAGATGTGCTGGTCTAACTGGTGAAAAGGTTTGGGCATTGTGCCATTTAAAAAAAAAAAGGTTTTCCACCTTTTCTTCCAGCAAACACACAAAAAACACACAAAAACACCAGATCAGGCACGAACCACAGACATAAACAGACGCAGGAGCGCCCACACACATGCAAACAGTTCGCCTCCACTTTCGCAGGCATGAGCTCCTAAAATACACAAAGCAGCCTTCTGTTTCTCCTACTCATCCCGGTTTTCCTGCGTTTCCCATCGATGCCATCTCTGGCATGACAAGGAAGTGGGTGAGATGATGAATAACAACAAAAATCCTACACCCTGTCCTCGTTTCATGGCAGACTTGCGAGGCGCGATTGTAGCTACAGAGATTTGACACTTTTGGTAGCATGTAAGACGTGCTTTGCCAGTGTGGGAAAAAAAAATGGCAGGGAGAAGTTGCCAGTGAAACTGGCACCGTTTCTCAAACGGAATATCAGATCAATATGTTCTGAAGGGGAGTCTATGTGAGCACAAAGCTCAGATCTCGGAGCCCACTCCCAAAGGGGGCATGCTATCCTTTACATGAACTCACCAGCAGCGTCTTGTGACACACACTGCCCTACTTACTCAAAACTGGCATGTGCGTGTGTGTGTGTGTGTGTTTTCCCGCCAGATGGCCACGGGGGCTATTTCTGCACAGCTCAGTTTGTGTGCATTATTTCTTCCAACTGCTTAAGCGTGACTG